CATACTCAAAAGTGAAATAAATCAGACCATTATGTGCAAACATTATATTGTCTCGCTAGTGTAAAACTTGAAAGAGTAAATGAAAGCTGCAAATGCAATGGACAGAATATCGAATATTATCAAGGTAACAAAGATAGTAGTAATTTCATACCTTGCTAATAAGAATGGAAAATGTACCATGACTTTGGAAAATTACCTGAAAGTTTTCTAAAAAGTTGAACAAACAAGAAAATTCTTTTCCATACATCTTCCCAAGATATATGAAGTCATGTGCTTACACAAATACTGGCATCTGAATGTTTGTTATTCAAAAGAGCTCACAACTGGAAATAAACCAAATGTCTTTCAACTGGCAAATAAACAAAATATGCCATTATCTATAGTAGACTACTATGCATTAAGAAGAAACAAACTACTGGTACATAGAATGATATGAATGAACTTTGAAACTGCTAAGCAGCCCATAGAGATAGCTCAGTGGTCTAAGCACCTGCCTGGCAAGTGCAAGGACCTGTGTTCAATCCCTGGTGCCAGCCCCATGCCAAACCAGACACCAAAACTGTGCAGGGTGGCACAAGCCTCTAATACAAGTACAGGGTAGGCTGAGATAGGAGGATCACTACGAGTTCAAGCTTCATAATCAGACCCTGTACCAAAAAAAAATCCAAAACAAAAAGCAACAACCCCCCCCAAAACTGTGCTATGTATAATTATGTGTGCGTGTGTGCACGCGTGCGCGCGCACACACACACACACACACACACACACACACACTCACTCTTCTCCAAAAGGATATAGAAAGGTCATTGCCTTTCCTGGGGCTGAGAGTAGAGAGAGATTGATGGGTGATGGACACAGTGGACTGTTCTGATTGGTGGCAGTGTTCCAAAGTGGATTGGGGTGATGATACACAAGTGATCAGTACACTAAGTGGGTGAATTTTGTAGCATTATAAATCGTATGTTAGAAAGTTGTTGAAAGGGTACATCTCAGAAGAGGAAGTTGCACCAGGCAGGGGGGAATACCTTGGAGAAGTAGTTTTCTTAAATGACTCTTTTATTTCCTTCCTTTTAAAGTTAATTTTATTTCTCCTTTTGAACAAGGCACTTTCCTCATGGCGCTGGGAAGGATCATTCCCTGGAGCAGATGTACATTACAGCTCATGCTGAGTCTCCCCCTTGGCAGAGACCGTTGTCAGTGAAGAGGGAGACTCAGCTGGAGAGAGCCAAGGGAGGCTTCTGGGGTAGACTCCCCTCAGGTCTTCCTCTGACTACTCCAGCTGAGCACACAAGAAGAAAGGCAAAGCCACAGGGAGGCATATTAATTAAGATGTCTTCTTTTTGTTGGGTCACTGTCAGTCTTTTCATTTTTCAGAGGTTACAGTTGTGGATTTATACTATTTTCCTTCCATGTTCCACATAGTTGCATAATGAAAGCATTTCACATTTTGATTTTCAGGAGGAATCACTTGAATATTTTAATATGCAAGAATATCTAATTGTCAGCTGGGGCCAGGGAAGAAAAAGTATCTACTCTTGAAATGAGACTACTGAGAACTATCCCGAAGGGAAGCTTTTAGTCAGTCCATAGATGGCTCCCTTCAGAGTGCTCTCTGCAGCTTTTCTATTTCCTTCTGGTGTAGCTCATTTAGGCATAGCAGGAAAAGTCTTGGCCCTTGTGCTTTTTGGTGTGGAACTGTGTGCTATGCCACAGGTGGTATCAATAAAGAGACATTTTACTTCCAATGTTTGCTTATACTTTCACTGCCAATTAATAAATAGCAGGGAAAACACCCCTCTTAGGAGTTACAGAGGAAATATTGTTTTGATCTTGTCCACTGTAATTATTGAATATATTGTTCATTTGACCAATGTCCCGTCTGTCTTTACACACATAAGTCTAAAACAAAGAAACCATTAATTTAAACCCACTGTTAATTCAGAAGCATTTTTATTTGATATATGAATTTAAAAGATTACTCTGTTCTTCCTAAAATCAGAAGCTTATAGTATTTTCAAGGCCATATGCTCCTTTTATTCCATGAACTGACACCCTGTGGAGCATAGTGGGAGTGAAAGCAGAGAAAGTGGCAGAATGGTGTTTTGTCTTTTCTTCATTGTGCTGTACTGGTGGTTTTTTTTTTCTCCCCTTGGCTTTTCTGAAAAGTGTAATGTGCATGTTTTAAGGCTATTTGTGTGGCATAAATGTTTGCTGACATGTTTAGATTGACAATACCATATATTTTATAGCCATTTCTTAGTTTAATTTTCTGGTACTAGACTTGATAAAGATATTCCTATGAAAGCAGCATGCTCTACCATCCCTTGCAGGGGAAATTTATTTTACTTCCTGAATCAAAACCTTTCTCTCCTTGTCTCTGGAGAAACAGGGTAATTTCCTCTTGGGCCCAAAAGTTTATCCTTCCTCTGAGCCTATCCTTAGTCTTTTTCTCCATCAGGGATGTCTGCTCATCTCTAAACTTCATCTTTCTTTTAGAACATTTTTTAAAATTAATTTTATTGAGAAAAAATTGCAATGAGACAGTTTCAAAATAGGTTGGTAGGAGATTGTATCAATTAATACATTACATATTGTTGTCTTTGTAGTAGTCATTAACAGCTCAAGATGCCAACATGATATCCGGTCCAAACACTATTAGTCCAAATCTTTCTTCTTATTGAATTAAGAGCAAGTGGCTATATATCTATCCTAACAATTTTGTATCTACAGATACAGAATTGTCCTTCATTTATATCTCCTTTTTATATTCAGTTTTGTAAGACATGGGCATTCCATTACCATCCAAATATTGTAGGTGCATGAATTCAGAAAAATATTCCAATATAGTCCAGTAGTCCACAATAATAGTGGGTTATCCACAGGACTGGCAATGTCCGAATCTTTTGACTTAAGCCTTCCACAGCTCTGCATATTAACATGACTTCACTTTCATACCTTGTTTCTACACTTTTCTGCTGGCTGGTTAGGACCAAGATAAAGCAAGACCTATATAACAAGAAATAAACTTTTGTATCTGACAAGGTTAGTCAGGTCCCCTCAGAACTTATCCCAAAACCCTGTACCACACTTTGTAGATCCTTTGTCAGTGTCAGCCATGTGGATGAGTCATGGCCATTCCCTGACCAATTTGTTCTCTGTGAGAGCCTGAGTGAATGTTTTCTCTCCATGTGACTCTTTTTAGGCACACGCTACATCATCGATCACATTCCTCTGTGGCCCCATAATCTTGATAAGAAAATTTGGGACACAACTGAGTTAAATGATGCTACAGTATAGGTTCTCCTATGTCCTGAGTCCTCACTGATGGGCCAGAATGTTGGCTGTCCTTGCAGCCCTTTTTCTCTAATTTATGTTCTGCAAACTTAGGTTGTTAACCCTCCAGAAGAAAACCTTATTATTACTCTACAACATATGTGGTTGGGTTTAACCTCACTATCTGTCTGAATATCAAACATCTTAGGCATAAGATGGAACATGTATTTTTCATCAAATATTGATATGTTAAACTTTGCCTCTACAGAATATGAAAAAAGAATCTTAAAAAATACAAAAAAATTAAAAATATGAATAAACTGTTACATATTTTTACACAAAAATTTAGAAATCTAACCACATACATCATAGTAGCAGGACAGTCCTGTGTTATTTTTCCCCTTCTTTTCTTTTTTTTTTTTCTTTTTTTTTTTTTTTCAAACTTGCATGTTATATTTTATTGACAATTATGTGCATACATACAACTATTCTGGTGAATAATCTGCTAGCTTCTGAAAGAAGCAAAAAACACTGGACTTCCGGCAGCTCAGCATTTACTGTTGTATCTCTTTTCCCTCACACGTAGACAGAACTAATTCTAGATTAAACCCATTTCAACCTGTCCCATAATAGCAATTACTCAGGAATTACATAACAGATAGGTATGGCAGCAAACTCCAAGAAATGTCAATTCCAGAACCAAGAAGTATGACATGTATGAGACAAAGGATGCATTTAGGAACTAAGAGTCAAGTATCAGGAAGGGATATGAGGCCAAAATAACACAACCAAGGTCAGATTAGGTCATATAATAACTTTCAGGATTCAGACTACAGACACACTATTTTAATGATGTACCTAGAGAAAACAAAAGCTATAAACAGAATTCTTACAGTGTTTGATACACTGCATTCCTCTGAAAGAGAGAACAGAATGTACACTTAAAATCATTATGCTTTCAAGATTTTGTTAATAGATCAATCTATACACTTACCAGACTCAAGAAAAAACTTATAGTCTGTTGAGCCCTACATTCTCAATCAGTGATAGATTATTATTTAGATTATAAATAATAATCTAAAAAACTTTAAAAATACTGAGACCAAATAATCCAGAGAGCACCATGAAGCATGCTTCTTCCAGATCGCTATAAAATAGTCACAAATCTTTAAAAGACAAAAGAAATCAAGGTTGTAGAGACCAATTATGCATTGGGAAACATGATATCTCATCAATATTAAAACACTGAAATCTTCTCAAGATCTTCTCCCATAGTGGAATCTGGCATTGTGTCTTCAAGGGACTAACTTGCAATACTTCGATACATGTATATTAGCTCTGTGTTCCCTTCTACTTGCTTTATAATTTGTTCTTAGTTAAGTGATTTTTTAAGCAACAGAACATACTTAATCTGGCTTTAGGAATTAATTAAAAGCTGACTATCAGCTATTAATCCTATTTCATCTGTTTCTTTGCATTTTTTCTTGTGCGTACAACACGTCTATTAAGCGCTATAATATAAAAGATTTGTAGAGGAAAACAATTTGATGATGTACAGTGAACTATAACCACAGTAACTGGACCATAGGTGCACCAATTAATAGAGAACAATCTGTGTTCATTTACAAGGGATGATACAAACAGAGAAAGTAGCTAGGTAACAGAGTAACATTATTATTATATAAAAACTTAACATTCCAAGTTCTTGAAAGATTATGTTTAAAAAAAAAAAGGTCAACGTTTAGGAATAAGTTTGAACTTTAAACTTCTAGCATGTGCTCATTTGGGTCCTTTTGCCTTGGAATTTGTTTCCTTTGGAACCCTTCCGTTCTGACTCTGAGTAAATCTGGACACTGTAGAAACTCCATCCACAAACTTGGTTTTGAAAAGAACATTTGCGTTGTTGAACATACCTTCTTTTAAGGATACCACAATGAACTGCGAATGTGTGAAATGAGTTCATAACATCTGTCCAATATTTTGGGTATGAGAGAGATCCAAAGCTGCATCTACTTCATCCAAGATATAGATTGGAGCAGGTTTAAAGAGGAGCATGGACAATATCAACGATAAAGCCACTAGGGACCTCTGACCACCACTAAGCTCAGTTAGGTTTTCTTTCCACGTATTCCCCAAGGCAACCTTGAACTCCAGACCATCCAAAACAGTTTGCCCCTCTGGTGGTGCAAGCATCGCGTTGGCACCAGGCAAAAGAGTAGAAAAAATAGACCCAAAATCTTTGTTCACCTTTTGCCAGGCAATATTTAGGGCTTGGTTTTTCTTCTGGTCAAGGTCTTCTATAGTTGCAAGGATTTTAGATTTATCATTTTCTACAATTCTCTTCTTCTTCATCAAGTCATTATACCGCTCTTCAGCTTCTGTCAGCACACTCATAGCTCGCATGTTGACATTCCTTCCCAGTTTCTCCTTCATCTCTTGCAACTTCTGAAGTCGCTGGC